ATAAAATCAAATTTCAAAATCATATCCATGATTCAATGTAGGCATTTCATGTATGCTTTTATTTTTTTGTGCAACCTTAAGAATATCAAGTTTTATTTAATTATGGTAGCGTATATTTATATGAAAAACGTATTCCATACCTTTTATTATTTTTTCAAGCTTTATACCCCAAAACAAAAATTGTAAGTATCACACTATAATACTATATACCTACTCTATATACCTTTTAGTAGACATTTTTTTATGAATTTGTAACACTAAAAATCTTAGTCAACATATTGGTTTTGGTTTTGTAATTCCTGAATAAAATAATTATTATTATTATTATTTTTAAATATGTACCTATAAAATTGTATAAAAATAATGAGTCTGTGCAAAAGAAGAGGTAAAAAATGTCTTACAAAAAATAATTCAGCAAATAAATTTACGGGTATAACAAAATGTGTTAGAATCGTTTGTTTTTGTACAACATGAATATTATAAAAGCAATCGTTTTAAAATGAGCGTCTGCCCTTTACATAAAAGAAAAGTGGCTTTAGAGCGTTGTTACAATTCGGCGGTGTCGGTGTGAGACGACGTTCGACCTCCGTCCGGAAATTAATAAAGAAGCGTGAGTGTTCAAAAAGTAGTACTTTTAAAGTACCAGTCACTGCTACTTTTCGCTGTAACCGAATGAGTAGCAGTAACAGTGCCTTTTACTTATACACAGGCTCGTATCCAGGAACTTTTTATAGGGGGGGGTGTTCCAGTGGCGGATACGAAGGGGGGGGGCGAAGGGCCGTCCTCATGGTGTTAAGTTGGGTTACATGTATGTTATAGTTAGGGTTGCCACTTGCCACCTCTCCGGGTTTCACCCGGAGAATCCGGGTTTACGTATAAATCTACGGGCTCCGGGTTCAGTGAATTATTCTCCGGGTCGGAGATAAAGATAAGATAAGATACGTTTTTTTATTATTATGCCTCTTTTTTTAAAATTAGTTTCCGGTATAAAACCATTTATTCAAGATAACAAGAATAATAAGATTATGAACTACGGTTTATGACTTTATGAGTCTACGATTACGATTTTACGAATCCGAATATCTGCTTTTAATTTTTGCGTTAGTGTAACCGTGCATCGATATTATAAAACTACACAGAATTTGAAAAGTAATTCATTAATGACCACATTTATGACTAAACGACCTTTTTTTTTTTTTTGCTTATCGGCCTGTCTCCGGGGCAGCTTTCTTTCAAAGGTGGCAACCCTAGTTATAGTACATAAGTACACAAAATATTATTATAATTTAAAACAAAAAAATAACTTCTGGTTAAGTATTATTTGTGGGGGACGGAACATAGGTGGTACATTCTTCCCTTCTGATTTTATTAGGCATATTAATTAGGACTATAATTATACTATATGAAATATATTTCAAAAAAAAAAATAAGTTTTAGGTAGATGGTAATAGTTCTACAATGTGAAAGTGTGGTGCTATGATAAAATATAAATAAACAATGTTCATCAATATGTTAATAATATGTTTATTATTCAAAACAAATATACTGAAATGCACCATATTGCTTATAAAAGATTTCCGAAACCGGCCTTCTAGCGCTTCCTAGTGGACAATTGTGTAACTAAACTGCCGTAAAAACGATACTCATTTATTTCTCATACGTACAATTGATAGTGACTACACCGTTTTACCGGTTACGTACCACCCAGATCCCGCGACAAGTAGATCCCCGTACGTCAACTGGATCCCCTTGGACATTTAGAACCTCATAGACATATAGATCCCATACTAACAATAATCTCCTTCGTCATTTAAATACCCAGATTTTGGCGGTAATTTTAAAACTTATAAAAATACGTAAATACTAATAAATATAGTTTAATTTATTCAACTATAAAATAGCATTTATAAGTTAAAAATATTTATAAAATATAAACTATAGGAGTAATAGTGATAACTAAGTGATGCTTGTAAAATTTCTAATTTTTTCAATTTAAAACCTATTATTGTATATTTTTAAGAATTTTGTTTTAGTTTTGGTTATTATAAAATTATTTTTAAAAAATGAAAGACCATTATATTGTAATACTTAGACGATTATGTATTGAATGGTATAGGTTCGCAAAACAGTTTTTATGGGTACATTTTGTTTTAGCACAACATTTAATCTCAGATAACAATGTAACATTTATTTTATAGTTATCATATATTCATATTGTATAATTTAAGGCAACTTTTGGAGTGTGTGTGTGGGTGGGTGGAACTCCCTCGAATTAGTGACTACTGGTTTGAATTCTGCAATTTTAATGCTGACATATTTACATTTTTTCATTAATCTGTTAGTGTGAGTATACCTCATATAGTCATATCTATAATTTGATTGGGTACTTTAGATAGAAACTATTGTTTATATAATGTATAATATATTAATATTATTAGTATACCTATACAGATATCTAGCTGTCTCGCACGGCGTGGCCCGTACTAAAGAAATGTTATTTTATATAAATGTTCTTATAATATTTAGTATTTTAACATATTATATAAAAACATTTTAAGGTTAATATATTTTGATTTGTGTATTTTAATTTTTATGTTTTGATGTATCGATAATTTAAATAACATGCAATGTATTTTAATATTAATTATTTATATAGATTATATAGGAACATTAATTACATACAAAATTAGCTTCCATACTCCATAAGTCAAGTAGTTTTCGAGATTTGGTGTTTAGTCAGAGTGTGACCTTTCTCGTTTACCTATAATATATTATATATATGTACATATATACTATATAGATAAAAAATGATACACTATATAAGCATGCTCACCCCTACTTTTTCCTTTAATAATGAATCTATACTTACAAACCATATTTTCAATACTTTTAAGGAGTGTCCTAAGATAACAAAATCTTTTATTTTTCAAATGAGAACACCCCTTTCTTTTTAAATTATTAAGTGGATAATTTTTTTGAAAATGTTAAAGTAAGTAGGTACCTACCTAATTAAAAAATGCAAACTCTTAGTTGCGTTAGTTAATACAATATTTAGAATCTAGATGTACCTATATTGCGTATAAATTATATAATATTATAGCTACTATGATTAACTATGGCCTATGCCCTTATATGGCGTGTATGGTGTATAAGTGTGGATTCTAGGACAAAATATCCAATGTCCGTCCTATTTAACAATTAAGTCGGTATTTAGACGTAAATATATATATATATATAAATCGACGAGCAGAGGATATTATACGTGTCGAGAGCGGGGGGGGGGGCGAGACCGTTTAATAAAATAGATTACATCTCTATATATATATATATATATCGAGCCGGTCGGAGGGAAGGGATTGAACCCCCGGGCCACCACAGACTTCACGCCACCCACAGTTTATATTATATATATATATATAAGGTCAAGGCGGAGGTCGGAAGCTGCGGCTGATACGCGAAGATGTCTAGCTATAACGTGATAATAATACATCGTTCGCCCCCTCGCTCTCCACGCCCCGTTACATCACTTGACCATATGCGCCTATAATAACAATATCAATATATGTATTATATTATCATATACGCACATAATATATCGTATATAATATTCTATTAAATTATGCGCAGTTTACCGATAATATTAATGTATATTATATATTATTATACTCTATAGGCACTTGCAGCAGTATCTATTAAATAATAGTACGTGATTTTTCGTCGAAAACTTCCCCCGCGGACGAAAACCGCAGCGATCGCTGAGGAAATATAATATTATTAATGCGGTCTCGGCTATCATAATTTGTGTATTTATAATTTATGCACATCTCTTGGTTAGTAGTTCACGCGATAGCCCTGTTTTTCGTCAACACGACGACGATAATGCTATAATTGAAATTATGCTATAATTTTAATAGCCTCAAATTCTCAAAATAATATACAATCATTGTATATGAAAACATATGTTTTTTTTGGTTTTTATAGGTTAGACCTTAGTGGGCCGATTTTTTAGTATCCCGGTAGACATTTTTGACCCAGTCCGGCCCTGTGTGAAGGGCGCGAATCGCCATATATTATATTATTATATTTGTTTTTGTGTCAAATTATTTAAACAGGCACAAGTAGCAAGCTTGAGAGTTTTTATACATATTATTATTATTATAGTTTTTACGAGCTTACTGCTCAAACGACGGTATAGCTATACCTATATTTTATTCTGTCTGGCCAGGATGAGGGCCACGTATTATTATACGTATCGTACTGTTTTGGCTTACGAGTTTCGGTCCGTGCTTAATTATTATTTTATCTGTCGTTTTTTTACTGTAATACAGCAATATTTAAATACCGTTATGTTTTAGTTACCATTTTTTTTAGTTACATTTCTGTTGTTAGTAGTTATTTCAGCACACGCCCGTTACCCACACATATGTATACACACACATTTACACATCCACCACACACTAGCCTTGCCGAGCAAGTCTTTGATAGTCTTGCTCGGTGAACCCGTCCACTTCGACCGAATTGCGAATACATGTATGCACTCATCATACGCAGGTCTTTGGGGTGTGAGTGCGATACGAAGTATTGTGGATACCAAGGTCTATTGTTGTTCGTTTCCGGCCCAAACACTCGTTTTTAATAACCGTGTTTTAGCTACTAAGGGTGTCAGAAATTAAAACAATTAGTTACACTTTTGATTTGTTTATTAGGTATTAGAAAACATGAGATAAACATTACACAAACAATACAAACAGCAGCTACAACACGTCGCGGAGCACATGAAAGTCGTGCACCGCGGTAGCAATTTTAATTTTAAACAACAGTAGAAAACGTCCCGTCGGCGGAGCACATTACTGCGGTCGTGTGTATAAATAGAAGGAGGCAGAAGTACAACTGATTCAGGGCCTCGGCCTGGAGAACCCGAGGAGGTGGCTATCAGCGGGACCACGCTATCAACTGTAAGTATAGAAATTATATATAGGTACTTGACAACAGAAAATATTTTACAGTTTAGGTGGTATGTTGGAACGTACCTCAATTTTATAATTGTTGACAACATTTAAACGATGGTCATGACTTTCGTCATAAGCCCAGTCAGATATTATTTTCTTTGATCTTACCCTATACACCATTTGCATGTGTGGTGGTAAGTCACGATATGCATTGTAATTTGTCCCCGCAAACTTAACAGGCTCTGTAAATAAAATAAAATATTAAACGACAATATAGAAAAAACTTGTGTTGATATAGTTTCTGTCGTGCTTTTTTTTTGCTTATTATAATATTTTTAAGTTCTTATATGAATGCTCAGGTATATGAAGTATTTAAATGCTTTTTTTTATGTATAGGTTCTCTAAATCCCGAACCTCGGTTATGACTGTTATGAGTGTATACAATTTTACAATTTAAAAATTCACATATCCGACATGTTCTTAACTTTGTTGTATAATATAGGTCAAATCACCGTGGGTTAGAGAGAGAAAAAAAAACTGTACAGACATCCTCTTAATAACAACTGCAAAAATTACAAGAAATAATAATATAATATTATTATATACAATTTGTTTTAGCAACAAATCTACCCATAATATGACTAATAGAAAAATTAATTACGAAATAACAATATAAATACCTATATTAAAATACCCATACAAGTTACTAAAAAAACAAGTCCGTCTCTTCTCAAAATCGTTTTTCATACGCAATGATTTATCATATTATAGTTATTATATAAAAAAAATGCTAACATATCCATTACAGTGACTCAATAATGTGGTACACACAACACTTATACAGCAGTAGATTTTTAAACTATTTTAAAACTAAAAACAATTACCCTCATCCATCCAACCCTTGGAATTCATTATTTTTAGTTTCTTTATCAAACATTTTAATGTCGATGACATCCCATGGTTTTCCATAGACGATACAAGTTTATTGATTTTTTTGTTCAAATCATATGACGTCTGGAAAAAAAAACTATTTATATTAAACAATTTCTTCGTAGCAATTTGTTGTTGTTACTTTTGATAATATTAGCCCAACTGATTGTAATATTATACACAAACAGTGCATTTGTAGTTCATAGTTGTTGTCATTCTTCTCTTTTCTTCTCTTTTCTAAATCTCCAATGCACTTGAGTATATACTTTTCTGGGAACGCGCCGTTTTTAAACAGTTCGCCAATAAATCTATCAAAAGTAATAATTTACATAAATAAAAATAACGAAAGTGTTAATTAAATAATACTAATTCAAAACACACCTGCAATTGCATATGGATCTTTTCTGGAAATCGAATAGAAAATTATTTAAAACGCCGGATAAACACTTCTTCGGTACCTGGTAAACAAATAATAGTATGCATAAGTATTATTGAACCAACTTCTAAAAATTAGTAAACTTATTTTGAATTCAGAATTACATATAATTTCATACAGGATTTAGGAATAAAAATAAAACGTATAAAGGTATTTTAATAATATGTTGAGAACCATAGATGATAATAATCATAAGTCATAACAAAATATAATGACAACATAACTATATTTACCATATTATCATTTTTCATTGTATCTTTTAATTTATTCAATTCTTCTTGATAGTTTGAATAAAAAACATCGTGACATTTTTTTAATAACACTTTTTGAAATGTTATTTCTGTATCGGTAGCAATAAGATTATTAAACTTCGAGTCATTGATCAAACGTGCACACATCTGAGCGTATATGTGTGTATAATTTTGTCTTTTTAAAGCCTAGATGGATATAACGATAATGCAATAGAGAAAATAAAACGCAATGATAATATTATACAAGTTCAATTAGAAGTTAGAACTATAATCAATATTAATTTTATACACAATATACATACTCGATCAAATATTATATTTGTTATGTCATCGAGTAGTTTAACATTATTTATTGGCAAAGCCATCATTTTTTGTGTCATCTTAACCCAGTTGACATCATTTAAATGGTAAACAATCGATCTTACAGTATTTAACACTTGCTAAAATAATACAAATTAAAAAAATTGATGATTAAAATGTATGAATATATAGAGACTAAATAACACTTAATATTGCATGAATAATAAATAAAAACTATTCTATCTCTAATTGTGTAAATGAATACACTATATATATATGCTTATGTTCATCCAGGCTGAATTTAGTTGAAAATAGCAATCTAATTATGACACATAGGTATCTTGTCTATATTCCTACCGTTTAATTGTGGTGCTGATTATTGTTTTCGTCAGGTTAGAATGTTGGATTAAATATTATGTAATAATGAACAATTTAACTTATTTATAACATATTATGAAAATTATATATAAAAGAAGCATTAAAATTGTATAAATGTGTAACATTGTGTATAACATTGAATACTTACATCAGAGTTATTTTTTTGTTCCATAATTACTTTTTTTTCAATCTTATGAACCTCAGTCTTCAGTACAAACAAAAAACTGAAAATAAAATAAAGAAAATTATAAGAAAGAAACAGATTTAAATTTAATAATAATAATAAATGAATACAACATTTTATTTAGAAACTGATTGTAATAAAACTCAAATAATATGTTAAATCAAAAATTTAATTATTTACCACTTTGTATACGTATTATTATAGTCCTAACTTAATTTTTCATAATGGCTCAGATTTGTATTATTATTATAATAATCATTACAATATTACCATTAAAGAAATTACATTTTTCATACATTATATTACATTGAATTGGAAATCCATATAACTTGATACGAAACTAATAGATACATTTTAAACAGTGTGTTGAACTGTTGAAGAATAGATATTTGTGTTGAACTATATGAATAATATTGTAACAATTTTTTTAAATAAAATCAAAATTTTGTTTCATTCTTCCAAGTACTAGGTATTTTCAAGTCCAATTTATCTAATTGTTATTTAGTAAACCAAGTACAAAAAAATCCAGATTGCTCATCGATAAATATGGTCTGCAGACATACCTAGTTCGGAGTTTCGGACTCAAGATTATTTTTTCGGTAATATTATATTATAAATTGTAATCATGAAATACCTACTATTTACTACTTAGTACAATTATGATTATGCTAAAAAGTACTAATTCTATATAATTATCTATACGATTACAATATTACTGTCCCATAAAATAATTAATGTACCTTACTTGTAGTTACTTGTGTATAGAGTATTAATTACTAGTTCGTATAATCTTCAGTTGACACGTAGGTATTAATCAATAGAAACGGACTTTACTGCAGGTCTGAACTCAATGACGATAATTGGAAAATGAGTACTAAATACTAATGCAGGTATAATATATTTATATTATTATGTTGCCAAGTATTTGTTATTATACATAACACACCAATAGCAACCATTTAAATTACCTAGGTACTGCTTAATAACAATATTATACGCTAATGCAGGCCAAGTATTAAACTATACCTAGCAATTATCAATGGTTAAAAGCTCACTGAATAGGTGCACAACTTAAGTCACCCAAATGTCTATACTATATAGTTACTATATTTAGGAACTACCACAGAACAAGAACTGCAGTTTACTATAATATACTATACTTTCTCGATCAATATGTAGAACACTCGTGCAGTGTATTGTGTACGCAGAAAACCATAAAACAACAAAATTATAAAGGTTATATTATTATAGTTTATATCTCAGACATTCTTGCGCCGGCGTGATGTTTGGATACGACATTGTTAAAAAGTGTGCCGTCTTAACCTGCTTAAAGTGGGCAGATTGGTCCAGATTTGTCGAACAGAAATGTGCGGTTATTAGAGTCAACTGTTTGAATTATCGATTTCAAACGATGTGTGTCCTAAACAATCAGTGGCTTGAAATACGTAGAAATCGGTATCACAAGCATATATATATAGGTATCACGGAGGATCAACAGTCGTTCATGGCCTCTCAAGCCGGGTTCACACTACACCTTGTCGAGTGATTTCGTATTTGTACGTTTATACCAAAATGCAATACCAATGATATTAATATTGTATCTGATGATAACATATTAATATATTATATTATTTTAGCTATCACTTTTCCGCACATAAATGTAACCACACGGTCAAAAATTGAATATATTCAATTTTGCAGATCGTTTGGTAACTGTGCATGTGGTAACTGTGATTATTTTACACTTCACGGTGTAGTGTGAACCCGCACTCGGCTTCAGGTACTATCTGAAAGTGGTCGTTTTCGGCATACATATATTAGTTATATATATCAGACTTAGCATTGAAGCTCAGACGAATGTAGGTATATAATATTTAAAAATTATAAATATACTAGCTGATCCTGTGCACTTCGTTGCCCGTTAAATGTATCAACTCTAAATGACTCAACCTTTGTTCAATTCGTAATTTAATATTCGGTGTATGGTGTTCAAAATTTATCTCAACTTTTTCGTTACCCGGAATAATAATTCTGCTTCGCAGCAGTCGCCGCAGGTAAATTGCCTACCTGTTAGGCAATTTACCTGCGGTAGACCCCGTGCTGTTTGTACGTAACTTTAAAATTTAACTCTGAAGTATCAAAGTTATACTAAGTTTGTCGTTTTTACTTAAGTCCACCTACGGTAGATTAATATGATCAATTCATACAAAATCCTATCCTAACCTAACCGTACTAAGATCCGATGACCAAAACCAATAATAAATAAACACTAATTTCTACTGTTGACTGTAACCAATGGCAACTATATTAATAAATAAAAATAAAATTTCCAATTTCCATCGTGAACCTTAATGTCCCTGTTTGAGAACCTGTTTAAAATGCGAATTTCGGAAAATCCTTTCTTATTTCACTGTGAAAATATGAGAAGAATCTCTATTCCAAATTTCAAGTTCGTACTTTACGTAGTTTTTGAGGTACTTACAGCGATCAGTGACTAAGTGGTATTTGGATATGTACAGATAACGTAAGCTCTTGCGCTTGTATTTTAATCATCATTTAAAATTACAGGTCTTAAGGTATATACCTAATAATATGTATATGTTATACATATTTTACACTTGGAGGTACCTGCAGGCTGCAGCTATACATAAAATATATTCCTCAAGTTATTTTTCGTGTAAAATAAGCGTCTAAAAATACGTCGCATCGTTGTTGTATTGTTATTGTTGTTTTTTAAATAATGACGACGATCGAGTGCGATTTATTGTCGCCGATCTTTTTATATAATATCATTATATTATTTTATACATATTATACAGTCGTACCACTGCGCAATCACGTTGCGAAAAGGACATAAATTTAAAATTACAACTGGAGACGTCTAATGGAAATAACCGTTTAGGATATACATTTTATACGGAGAAAAAAACGGAAAAGAAATAAATAGGTCGTATTTAAATTTAATACGTATAACGCGATACTCACGTTCCGATTGGTATATTTTTACCGTTCACTATAAGATTTGTCGGTTTCGCTCGACACCATATCGGATTCAAAACTTTTAAATCTTTATATATTCGTTCTGCCACACCGCGTCGATGGCGATAACAATAATAAAATATAAATAGCTTTAACTGCAGCGCGTTTTATATATTACGCATAAAAAGGTACTTTTACATGCTACAGCTGATTGGTTAAAAAGTATGGTATGCAGACGATGGAATACTCGTCATCTATTGAAAATAGGTAAGTCCAAATTTAAAAATATAAAATATATGTTATGCAGTGTTTATGTTGTGCGCAAACGAGTCATCGATATCTATAATATATACAGGGTGTCCCGTGAGGATTTACTCATTAGCCGTAGAGGGGGACTCGCCGCCCGGACAAAAACCAGTTTATTGACGTTTTACTAATAAACTAAAAAAATTATTAAAAATCATGAGATTAATGAAAATAAAATGTTAAAAGCTCAAAATGTTCGCAAAAATATACTCTATAGAATGGCTATCTTCAATTTTTTCAAAAATAAAAAAATAAAAAAATAATTTTTTTAACTTTTTTACTAAAAAATTTATTTTAATAAAAAAATAAAATATTTGTAGTGCTTACCTCTGCGAGTCTTAATAAAAAAACATAATTACGATATCTCCATTATTTCAGGAGATATCACAATGAGTAAATCCTCACGGGACACCCTGTAGATATATATTATAGTTAACAATTTGGATTGTGCGCTAACGAGTTGCACTGGGGCGCAACGGTAGTTTTGGCGACACGCTGGTCGGACGATAACAATAATAATAATAATATATCATATCCGTGTATGGTACACATGTAGAGCATTTGACGTATATATATATTATACGAGATTAGAAATTGCCTAAATGATTCTCCTTAAATCAATGCCATTGCGAGGCCCCTTAATATACGAATGTAAAAACTAAAAACCCAAACAACAATTATTGGGAATAGAGTAAGTAAATCGAAATCGATTTAATAATCAGAATTATTCAGAGGTATTGTACGTAGTTGTGATATTCTAATAGGTATATATCTACATTGTATTCAAAATAAATATTAAATCATTTATACTATATTATTAATATCTTAGACAAGTTCTATGTCTGAATTCATTAATAAAAATGTTGGTCCATTTGTATCTCATCGGCGAACCATGCAAAGGCATAGAAAATCTAATCAACCAACATCACCACAAACCATGACCGATTTCCATTACCAATTGACTGGAGGCTATGTTCATCTTCCAGTGATGGATAATGTACCTATTTATATGGGAAAAATAGGCACTGACCCCGAAGAAGGGATAACAATGTTGTTTGTATTACCAGAAATTAAAAAGTAAATACTATGTAGTATGTAATTAGAAAATGAATTATCTTGATAGGTATCTATGTAAATAAATTATAATAACTGTATAAAACCTATTTGTTTTCTTTTTCAGTATACTGAGGACTGGATCAACGTTTTTGATGGATGGTACATTTGCTGCTGCTCCATCATTTAACCGGGAGTGTCAAAAGCTTTATGTTATAATGGGTATAACATTCAACATCGTGAGTTATACCTAAAAATAATTATACTCATGTATACAAATATTATAATGTGATAATCATTGCAGCTTACCTTAAACCTTAGGTATCTATCTGTGTATACATTTTATAAATTATAAAATGTTTGTATTTTAGGGATTCCCAATTGCATTTGCTTTGATGTCAAGAAAGACAGCGAGGGCTTACATTGCTTACAATGCCTTATTTAAATGGCTATTAGAAATTGAGCCACAGTGGACACCACAAACAATTATTGTAGATTTTGAGAGAGCTGCAATGGTGTCATTGAAAGTAATTTTCAATAACGTTACGATAAGGGGTTGTTGGTTCCATAGCTCTCAAGCTCTGTGGAGAAAAGTTGGAGAATTTGGTAAGCTTATAAATATTTTTGATGGTTCAATAAGTATATATTAA